TTATTTTTAACACATTCAAAACTTCAACTGAATTGAAATATCCAACCATTTGCAAACTACCATTTATTTTTAACACATTCAAAACTTCAACTGAAATACGTCAATTGATTCCACACACAATATTAAATAAAAACAAAGTCTCATAACAACCAGAATCAATATTTATTTTGCATCAACTATATCGCAATTTCATCTATTAAACTAGCCATATATGTTTGGTGAGCGGCACTTCCATGCGATTGAACCTCTTCTGCCTCATCTTCGCCATCGTCCCCTTGCTCGTTGGTTTGATCATACTCAGAAAATAACTTATCACTTAAACCTTCCTTTCATATGAAGTTGTGAACCGCAAAGCATGCATAACAACGTATCTTTGAACCTCAAGTATAAATGGTTTCGTTCTTTTCAATATCGAAAAACGTGCTTTTCAGGACACTGTAAGAACGTTTACTAACATTTATAAGCTTTGCATGTGAATGATTAAAGTTCTCATACTTGTTCATTGCTTGTCGACGACGAAAATCTTCGAGCCAATATCTAACATTACAATATGGCACCATAAATCCTCGAGTATTTATGTACGCAACATCACATAGATAAAATTTATCTAAAAACAATAAATAAAATAGCTATTAATATGAATATAGTAAATATATAACCTCTAAAATCATTAGTATACTTGAAGGAGGAAATGAAAATCAAATAGCGCCATCTGTTAAAGCTTCGGATAGAACTCTAGAATCAGGTGCAACTCCTTCCCATCCGGCAACAACAAATGTAAAAACCATGTTAAGTCACAAATTGTCAAATCATTTTGATAATATTCACCTTTTCCTCATCCTCTATATAAATGTTGTTCTTGAATAGAAATAATAGCATGTATTAAAGTTCCATCAAGGGCACCAATTGCTCCCTACATTAAAACTTGTAGTCAAAATGAATTTAGTAAGGAAAGTTATACAACTATTATTGAATTATTATTTACCTTAAATTTAGTAGACCCAGACGGATTACTTTCCTTTTAAATAATTGTACTGATTTTTCAATTGTTTTTGGGTTAGCTTCACATGACACACTTCCTCAATCTTTGTTGCCAACTTTGCCCAAGTTTTTTTTTCGAACAATACCTCCATTTCGATCCACTTTATTGACCTCTTGTATACAAGTCTCTAAAAAACATTTGATAATTTCATTTGTCCACCTTACACGTGCATTCTCGACCATCACTAATTAGCACACAAGTAATTGCAAATAAGAAGCACATAACAGGCTTTGATAACAACACAAATAATTCTAGAGAGCTAAATAACTTTGCTTGCCCTTAAAGAGGGTTGCCTACTGTAGCAATGCAAAAGATTAAGCATAATGAGATATGCCACCAATTACTACCAATAAATCATGATTTACTAATAAAGAAACTTGACATTGGCCTAAAAGAAGTACACATTCAAGACTGGTCAAACTACCATTCAAGAAATCCCATCAAGATTCACACTTTGAAACTCATCGTTCTTGAAAACGTTGAAGGAATTTAATCAAACAAGAAATTATCACTCAAGTCGATAATATGTGTAGCATATACATGAAAATTATGACAATTACAACAAGGAGAATAATTTTGTTGTCAAATTTGCAATAAAACTCATGTCACATTTCTATTTGAAGAAATTGACTCTTGACATCAAAAATAGAAACTAGGGGCATTTTATAAACTACTTTTTAACCAATCTTATATATATATCATAAAGCAGAGATTCAATAGCTCAAAAATCAGCGAATGTATCAATTTCTACAGCTTTCAATCATATACTGATTTTGATGTTAAAGTTTTAGGTTCATGATGCAGCCTACGTTGATCATTTAGGGAGAATATGATTAGACAGTCCCACTGGAATTAGGGTAAAGAGCTTTAATGCAAACTGTAATAGTTGTGATTGTAATTCTACAAAGACAAAATGTAATCTGAAAGTTTTTATCTGAAGAAATCTAAAAAGTTTTCTCATTCAGATGATTTGTCTTTTGCTCCTAAACATATACATTGCAACTATTGTGGTTTTAATTTCTTAGCCATAAATGTCAAATGCAAAAAGCATATCAGATCAGAGGACTCTAAATCTTAATCAGATTTCTCACATAGATCTAAAGCTAAAAATGGTTCTTGAGTTAACAAGAAAAGTACTCAAAAGAGAAATTTTTCAAAGCCAAAATTTTTCAAAAAGAGGAACCACATTTTGTGGATGTTAATTTAAATTTGTTTGGAAATGGGTTCCCAAACAAATATATGAATGGCATGTAAAATTTGTATCTACTAACATGATTCCTAACCCAACAAGAACCCATTATGAAATGGGTACCTAAATCTTAATGATTGTTTTTACAGGACTGTCATGTGTGGTACATAGACTTTAGATGCTCTAGACACATGACAAGACACAAACACTTCCTGACCGATTTTAATGAAAATCCTGGTGGAACAGTCACGTTTAGAAATGAAGAGAAGGGATACGTAAGAGGATACGACACACTGTCAAATGGCACCATAACAATCAAGAAAGTGTTTTATGTTGAAGGATTGGAGCACAACTTGTTCAGTATAAACCATTTTTATGACAATGGATTTAGTGTCAAATTCTTTATCAAAGGATGTGCCATTGTCGACTCTGACGGCATTGAAGTTATTGGAGCTGGACGTTATGATAATCTGTATGCGTTAAACTTCTCAACTTTGACTGCTTCTCAGCCTATTTATTTAATCTCAAAGGCAAAAAAAAAGGAAGATAGTTGGATATGGCATCGTAGATTATCTCATCAAAACTTCAATGATATCAACAAGCTCGTAAGTAGAAATCTCGTCATTGGTCTACCATAACTGAGAGTTGACAAGGAGTATTTGTGCTCAGGGTGTGAAATGGGAAAAATGGCTAGAAGTTACCACAAGGCAAAGACTTAATCGTCTTGCAAATCTCCACTCGAAATGATACTCATGGATCTGTGTGGACCTATGCAAACTCAATCCTTAGGAGGGAAAAAATATATTTTGGCGATGATCGACAAATATTCCAGATATACATGGCTAGAGTTTCTATGAGCCATGTCTGATGCGCCAGAGCTAATTATCGCATTTATTAAGTGCATTCAAGTTCTTCTACAACTTCCTGTGCAAAAGATTTGAAGTGACAACGACACAGAGTTTACTAAGACCCTTCAAAGTTTTCTTCACTTTGTCGGGATTTCTCACAAAAAAAATTCTGTTCGAACTCCGCAACAAATGGAGTTATTGAAAGAAGAAATTGGACTATAGTTGAAGCTGCTTGGACAATGCTCGCATACTCTGGCTTATCTCTATATATGTGGGCTGAAGCTGTATCCACTACATGCTTCACACAAAATCGCACGATTATTGTCAAAATACTACATAAATATGCTTAGTAGATAATCAATAATCAAAATCCTAATGTTAAATTCTTTCATGTTTTTGGTTGCAGATGCTTCGTGTTGAACGATCGAGACAATCTAGGGAAGTTTGATTAAATAGCTGATGAGGGTTACTTTCTTGGATATTCCATCAAATCAAAAGCCTTCAGAGTATATATCAAGCGGACAAAGATTGTAATTGAAAGCATCAATGTCAAATTTGATGAGTCATCGACTTCTGGACAAAACGATTCAGGACTCAATCTATAACCGTCAGCTTCTACACAAATCAGTGTAGAACCTGTACTAGAAAGCAGGAGAATAAATACAAACTATATTGTTACATAAAATTTAAATTCATTGTTTAAAGATGCATTTAATTTAACTTAGGGTATTCTTGAAGAATTTGAAATTTCGGATACACCCAAAGTTAGTGAACCGGTTGTCCTGATTCCGCAAGTTACACAACTTTTTGAACCATCTGAAGCTGGTTGTTCAATCAAATGATGTTCAACCAAAAGTTGATGAAGTAACTGAATCWGAGTATGTTCAAGCTGAAACATAGAGTCAACCTGAGATTGTTTAACCCRAAGTTGTTCAATCAGAGTCTTCTCAATCTTAAGCTCAAGCAATGACTCAACCCAAAATTGTTCAACCCGATCTTGATCAATCTGGGTCTTCTTTACAGACCTGCTGATGAAGCTGAACAATCAGAAGTACAAGATGAGATCGACGAGTATGATGATCAGAACAACTTAACTAATGTTCAACCTTTACCATGTACATGCAAGTGGACTAAAGATCATCGCCCGATGTAAATTATTGGTAATGTGAATTCAAGAGTGCAAACGCGATCTACGATCGTAACGACTGTTTGTTCGTCAACTTTCTATGTGCTATAGAGCCTAATAAGCCATCTGAGGCATTGCAAGATCCGGATTGGATTAATTCTATACAAGATGAACTTCGAGAGTTTGAAAGAAATCATGTTTGGAGACTCGTGTTGAGGCCTAAATACAAATCCATTATCGGTACAAAATGGGTCTTTCGAAACAAGAAGGATGAAACGGAATTATTGTCAGAAACAAAGCCCAACCGGCCACAAAAGGGTATTGCCAACAAGAAAACATTGACTATGACGAGACCTTTGCTCCAGTCGCTCGCATTGAAGCTATCAGAATATTCCTAGCTTATGTTGCTCACAAAAACTTCAAGATGTACCAAATGGACGTGAAATATGCATTTCTAAATGGTATGCTTATGAAGAGATATACATGAGTCAGCCAGAAGGCTTTATAGATCTTGATAAGCCACATCATGTTTATGTCCTAGACAAGGCGCTTTATGGTTTAAAACAAGCACCTAGGGCATGGTATGACACATTAACCCAATTTCTATTAAAGTCTGGTTTCAAGAAAGGTATGATTGACACTACATTGTTTCTTAAAAAGCAAGGTAAGCATCTGATATTGATAAAATATTATGTTAACGACATCATTTTTGGTTCTACGTACAAATGCTAAGTTTTGCAAGAACATTTCAGACATAATGCAATCTAAATTCCAAATGAGTATAATGGGTGAGTTAAATATTTTCCTTGTTCTTCAAGTAAACAACTCCCTGATGGCATATTCATGAATCAATAAAAATATGTCAAAGATATTTTGAAAAAGTTTAACATGTCTGAATGTTCTTCGATAAAGACCCCCATGGCAACTCGAACTTTATTAGATGCAGATTTATCCAAAAAAAATCTATAGATCAACAAAATTATCGTGTAATGATCGGATCTTTATTGTACTTAACGTCAAGTAGAGCAGAATAATGTTTGCAACGTGCTTTTGTGCAAAATATCAGGCTAACCTCAAAGAGTCACACCTTGTTGCGGTCAAAAGAATCTTAAGATATCTCAAAGGCAGACCAAATCTAGGCCTTTGGTATTTTGAAGATTCTGGTTTTGAGCTAACTTCTTTCATAGATTCTGACCATGCAGATTGTAAGCTGGACAAAAAGAACACATCTAGATCATGACAATTCTTAGGTGATAAGCTAGTCATTTGGACTTCGAAGAAGCAGAATTGTGTCTCAACTTCTACTGTAGAGGAAATATACGTCGTGATAGCCGGTTGTTGTTCCCAAGGGCATTGGATGAAGACACAACTACAAGACTATGGTTATACTTTCAACAAAGTCCCTATCAACTGTGATTCAAAGAGGGTTGTTGCTATAACAACTAATCTAGTTCAACATTGTAAGACCAAACACATCCACATCTAGTATCACCTTATCAAAGACCATGTTGAAAARGGGTAAATTGAAATGCAYTTTGTATAAACAGATTTCCAGCTTGCTAACATTTTCACAAAACCACTCGACGAGAAAAGGTTTTMATTTTTAGTAAGCAAGCTTGRAATGTTAAATCTGTCTGTATGAAATATGATCAATATGTTGAGGGGGAGTCTCGAGTCTTTTATTATTTTTAACTATCAAATACTAACCACTTGTATGAGACT